CTGAAATTGATCAACCATGCAATCAAGATGTATTGATCATTATTGGTGATTGGAATGCAAAGGTTGGGAACAAAGAGGAAGGATCAGCAGTTGGAAAATATGGCCTTGGTGATAGAAATGATGCTGGAGAACACATGATAGAATTCTGCAAAATCAAATTTGTTCATTTTAAATACCTTCTTTAGACAGCATAAGAGACAATTATATACACATGAACCTCACCAGATGGAATACATAGAAATCAAATTGACTACATTTGCAGAAAGAAACAATGGAAAAGCTCTATATCACCAATCAAAACAAGGCCAGGGGCTAGATTGTGGCACAGACCATCAGTTGCTCATATGAAAATTCAAACTGAAGCTGAAGACAATGAAAACAAGTCCACAAGAGCCAAAATATGACCTGAATTTAGAGATCATCTGAAGAACAGATTTGATATATTAAACACTAAAGACTGAAGACCAGAAGAGTTGTGGGATGGCATCAAGAACATCATACATGAAGACAGCAAAAAGTCATTAAGAAGACAAGAACAAAGGAAAAGATCAAAACAGATGTCAGAAGAAACACTGAAACTTACTCTCCTGCATAGAGATGCTAAAGCAAAAGGAAGAAACGAGGAGGTACAAGAGCTGAACAGAAAATTTCAAAGGTCAGTTCAAGAAGACAAAGTCAAGTATCACAACAAAATGTGCAAAGATCTGGAGTCAGAAAACCAAAAAGGAAGAACACATTCAGCATGTCTTAAACTGGGGGAACTGAAGGAAAAATTCAAGCCCTGACTTTCGTTATTGAAGGATTCTCTGGGCAAATTATTGAGTAATGCAGAAAGCATCAAGAGAAGATGGAAGGAATACACAGAGCACCAAAAGGAAAAGGTTGATGTTCAACTGTTTCAAGAGGTAGCATATGATCAAGAGCCAATGATATTGAAGGAAGAAGTCCAAATTGCACTGAAGGAATTGGCAAGAAAGAAGGCACCAGGAAATGATGGAATAAAAATTGAAATCTTTCAAGAAAGTGAGGTGACACTGGAGGCACCCAAGAAATTTGGAAGACAACTATCTGAC